TCATATGTTTTTTTATGTGCCGAAAATGCATAACGGCGTAGAAAAAGTCAAATTTCGGAATTCACACGATACTCGCCCGATTATAAAACTATCCTCGAATGGAACGAGGAGGTCAAACAATAGACAGATATCTCTGGCAAGAAAAATGAAAAATTGATAAATATATATTGACCAATGAAAAAGAAAAGATTGATGAGCTGGGTCAGATTAGATTTCTCCTAGAAACATTCTATTATCTTGCTATATATATATATATATAGAGAGAGAGAGAGAGAGATTGCATGGCAATAAATTCTTTTGGGGTATGATACTATATAGGGTAGGTGTACGTACATTAATATATAAGCAATATCATTTGGCACCGAATATATTCAACGTATTTTATGGGGGTCTATTGTCGAGTATAATATATGTGTAGGAAATACAGAATAGGCATATATAGATAGATAGGGGGCAGTCGGAACAATAGCACCGGTGAAGCTTCTGACAATGTGAAGGCTCCGTTTGTTTCGCTAAAAATGAATGATTAGAAAATATTTTCTAAAAAAACGATCATTGTACTGTTTACCAAACTGAACGAATGAAATATATATTTTCATTGTCAACGGAAACGTTTAAACATAAACTGTGGTTGATAATGAAAACATTTTTCATCGACTAATTATTTCAAGCGATACAATGGGTCATTTTTAAGAAAATATCTTTCTCAGTTATTCATTTTCTATGAAACAAACGGAGCCGAATATGATTATCATTGATCTCCAAGAGAAAATAGCAAAAATGCTTCAACGTACATCTCGGTTGCATGCACAATTAGATCGATTTACAGGTAGTCCTGATAGAGAGGGATTCTATTTCTCGACAAGATGGTTACTAACATGAGAGTTTTGCAACCGTTGTAACCAAAAAGGTTTGATGATAAGGAGTTTTTCCTAACGTTTTTGCAAGTCAACGAACGGGCAATGACCGATGACATATGCTTACATGTTGCTTAGCACATACATTGTTATGGCTCATTTTTTAGGGGGAAAACTCTTGTGCCGACTTGAGTCCGCACGGACCTGGTGAATCGCAGATTGTGTGAGTCCCAAGTGATCGATAATTGTGATTGTTTTAGGTCGATGTATCTGAATGCAAGCAAGAGTTTCTCCGTTTTTGGACTATTTGCTCTTTTTTTTTAAGCCTCTTTCTCACTCTCTCTCTCTCTCTCTCTCTCTCTCTCAATTTTCATGCTTGAAGCCATTTTCATTTTGTGCGAGCCCCTTGACCACATGCACAGACAAATTAGATAGGGGTTTGAATGAAACTAGGAGTCCAGGATTAAATCTCGAGAGACGTCCGTTCGTTTAGGCAAGCTTATTTACGTAGCAATCTAATGCACATGGGAGAATTACATGATTCACAGATTTTTTTCTAGAGAAACGAAATTAAATGACAGTCCTATCTTATTGAATATATATATATATATGTCATAGGCGCTATGGTTTAGCTTTATGGGCGTCATAGATAGTCGATGGGATGGGGACTTTGGGAGGACACCATAATGTCAAGATGGTTGGTGTGGAGTGGAGGTAGATGATATGACGTTATCATTAATAATAATAATAATAATGATAATAATAATAATTTCTTTTTTTGGTGATTTATTTTTGATGGAGTAATCAATGATGGGCTGCTCGAGGAAGGAGGAATAATGAGCAGTGAGTCGCATCGACATGAAAATGAAATTATATGATTAGGAGAAATGGTCATATATGGACCGAATTCTTCTTGGACATCCTTTCACGTGGGTCCTACTTTTGATAGCATCAGCCTACCAAATCGAAAGTTACGGGAGAAAAAAAGGTGACATATACCTTCAAAAGTGGTATTGGATCGTAAGTGCTACAAAGTATTGGTAATCGGTTTTAAGGTGGGTAAGTTCTATGGGTGATTGATTCAAATTATGAACCTGTTATGTTGGAATCGCTTTTCATTTTTGAAATCTGAAACTTATCTTATTTGCTCTGAAACTTACCGTGTTTTCTTGATCCAATTCTAAGGTCTATTCTAGAACCCGTTTTTCTTTTATTCCTTTTTTGATTTTTTTTACATTAAAATAATATGAATAGCAAAACGATTCAAAGTAAAAGATGAACGAGGGCAACGGATCGAAGGCGAGTCAAGAACGAGCGAGGGTGAGTTGTGAGAGAGAAAGAGAGAGAAAGAGAGAGAGAGAGTTTCTAAAGTGAGGTTGAAATGAACAGAGAAAAAGAGAGCTATAACGAAAAAAACACCAAGAAAAAACCTAGAGTTTTTAGGCTTTATAAAACCGGTCCCAAATTCGATCCTGCCAATCCAATTTCCAGTTGGTTCTTTACCTGGAAGTGGAAACTAGATTGGTTTCCACCAGTTCCAAATTTTTAGAATTGGGAACCGGACTTATTCCAACAGAAATTTAGAGCTAGATTAGTTATCAAGGCAGTCCAGTCCGATTTCATTCTTTAATTGTGAAACACTTATTATCAAATGCCAAATGATGCCTAAGAGGACGCTTACCCACAAAAATACAAAGATGACCAAAATAGACTTTTAACATAGTCGTTCGAAATGATTTTTAACTTAAACTGATAGACGGCGAGGGGATTTCAACCGTTTATAAACTTCATAAATACTGGCATCAAGCTTGCAAGCTTGGAAACGAGTCCTTTAACGATCCCGCAAGATCCTGAACAAAGGAACTTACCCGGGTGCACTCGCTGTACTGCAGATCTTGAAAGAGACTGGAAAATTATTCTGTTTCTTGTGGACACCCCAAGACCAATGATTGCTAAGGATCATAGTGGCACTATGCATGAGTTTAGGTTAGCCCTTGAGTTGACGCTTCTTTTGACTTGCTAATAGAGAGAGAGAGACAGACCGATCCTGGCCCTTCTCCTTATCTTCTCTTTTAGCAAGTGAAGATGATTGTTGTTCTCTTTGTTTTGGGTATCTTTCTCCTTTCCACAGGGCCTATATGCTTGTCACTTTGATATGAATACGATCCTGTCGTCTTTCAGTGTGCCACCCTGACATTCTGGGGCCTTTACTTTGTATATTGGGACAAATTTGTGGAATTCCCTCCATTTAGTTCTGGTGTACGTACTTGAAAAATGGTCCTTCTCATTCTTGACGAGAACTTTCTTGCACCTACACAGCCTCTAGAACTGCTATGTTTCGCTTTAAAATTACTCGACTGAATCTTGAATAGGACGGCATGGCTTAAGCGCCTGAAATGGTGGTAAATGATAATGTCTCTTGGTTCTTCGATTCCTGCCAGGGGTGTTAGGTGCTGAACTGAATTCACCAGCAGGACTCTGGTCTGACCTAATTGCTCAGTTGCCGTTTACTTTTTTTTTTGGTTGTACTGTAGCAAGGATTTCAGAGTTGTAAAAAAAGATTTCCTAGGATGTTTCGTTCGACTTAATTGTGTACTACTTGAGAACTTTGCTGACATATAATTGAAGAGGTTTCACAGGTTATGCTATTCCAAATATTTGGAACGCCTAATGTCCGATTTTTCCCCTAAGTAGCTTTCCGCAAGATACTCATGTTGGGCAAGCCAAAAGGCCAATGGAGACTTACTGTATTTTCTTTCCCCAACTAAACCAGTTTTTGAAAATGAAGATACGTACTTGTACCTTGTGTCTATGTCTCCTGTTGTGAAAACACCGTGCGATGACAGGTTTAATCTCTCACTATTTGGCTCACTAATCAGGAACTGAGTCTGCTTTCTCTCTTGACAGAAACACATAAAGAAATTATTAAAACTGCATATTTTGCAGAAATTTCCGGACATTAAACGAATTTCAAGGAAGAAAAGAAAACTTAAGCTTCTCATCTCTACGTTGTGTTTTGGTGGGAGCCGTTATTGCTTGACCAAGAAAAATGAAGAGCGAATTTGTTGAGGCAGTCTCTCTATGCTGTATTCTTGGATATTTGGTAAGCTGATACACTGAAAAAACAGGAAAAGCATGTTAATCAGCATCAAGGTCTCAAGGAAGTTTGGTTTCTCAAGAATTTTATGATTAAAGACATTTCCAGGTAGCAATTCCTCTTATTACCTGATTTTCTGCTTCATATCGTCCGGCTAGCATTAATCTTTCCAAGCACGCATGATGCACCACTTAATCAAGTACCCCAGGTAGTGAAACGCCCCAAAAGAATTGATTGCCTTTTCTTTTCTTTTTTCTTGAAAGGACAACAGACAAGCACCAGGATTGGGCTTTCCAAGCGCATGCCACACTTCACTCCACTGATCATTCACTTTCCATAAGATCAGAAAGGGTAATCTTGCCACATTTCCTAGTGTCCAAAACATTGAATTGGTTGCTTATCAGCGCGATATCTCTCTCTGCTATCTTTCCCATCTGTCTTAGCTTGTAGATAATGAACTCCGATTTGCTGCTCAGAACACGAAGTTAGAATTCTTCATAAGGATTGATCTATCTGAAAAGAGGTGCACAGTTCTTATACAGAACAAACAGACGTGGGACTTGCAAAAACTATCATTTCCCAGAAAATCTGAACTATAGAAGACGTGAAGAGGCCATATTCAGATCATACTTTATTGCTGTTAGTGGACACAGAAATTTGGACACCACACACTAGGAAATACTTATCAACAATTTCTCAGATAGCTTCTTTTTCAAGCACAGCATGAAAGGTGGGAAGTCATGAACTGCTCCTCTAGATAGTGGTCCTTTCAGGAGGGTTTCACGTCTTGTGTTTAATCGACGCTCTAAGGAAAATCATTGGCATATCCTCACATGTTCTTCAGTAAAAGGAGCACATATTATCTACTATTCACGGGGTAAGGAAGGTGAAACCTCTCTAGAACTATATTGGAATAGGTCGACTAACCATATGAAATCTCCAGCTTGTTCTAAATGTCCGTCCTTACTATAAATTTCAAATGGAGCATCTCGAAGGCACTCTTTCGGTATAGACTATCATCCATGTGATCTAGACCAAACTGTCCTTTTGCTTTAAACTGCTATGCTAGCTATGTTATAAGGCCTAACCACCTAAAATTCTAAAGTTCTTCCATTTGTTACTGTCTTTTTCCTTTGTCTCTCCAATGCTGCTTCTGTCTGACTTCTGCTCCGCCTTCAATTGGAGGCTCTGGTGCTTAGATTTCTCATGTTATGGTGACCAACAATCTCTGAAGAGCGCCGACACTGTGTTCCTGAGTGTTACTATAATGATTTTCAGTTTTGAACCTAATAAGAGATCAAGTCTTCTGTTCTTTTGCCTCATGCCCTGATGTACTCATCTGTTAACTTGTTTCGATCTTGCCAGCCGCTAATTCTAACTAGATATCAGTCTGTCTTTCTCACAATGGGGGTCCATTCTATATCAAAGAAAGGGTTTACTTCAAAAGTATGAGTGCTCTCGAAAATTTACTTAACAGGCAATCTGGTGAGTCATTTTCTTTTAAACTAGTTGTTAAGGCCACATGAAGGATCGGCTTTGTTTGCAGGCCTCACATCATACTCTCTCTCACAATCTAGCAGTTAGCAGTTAAACTAGATTGCATATATCACTTCCAGTGCTGCAATCTGGCAATATAATCTTATCGAAATGGTTTAACATTCTACTGACATCAACTTCAAATATAACCAGTTAACATACGTGAAGGAATAAGAGAAGAGACGATACTATTGTCTCCGATCGACAGTAATCTTCTGCAATCTAAATTTTTTCCTTGTCATGCCTTATTGGTTCTGCATCTGCCTGAATTCTCATCTAATTGATGAATATAGTTCTACTGTTGATATATCTTGGCTGTTTCTGCTATTGCTAGCTACAACTAACATTCCTCACTAACCATACTTCTTAGACTGAGGTGATCATGTCTGACCGAGCATCTATACCATCATGTGTGTTGCTATTTCCTAGTATGTTCTGTCTTCCTTATTCACCTTCCTCTTAGCCCATTCATCACGTGCTCTTCCACCTGCCGATTTGCTGTGAGCACATCAGTCTTAATCACATCTATTTTCAGTCATGCCCCGTCACACAAAATTCTTCACTTCAAATGATGATTATGTGATGCCTATCCTGTGCATAATCACGTGCAGTCATTTGACTATCAACTATTTCTCCCCAAGAACACAGAATCACGTGCAGTCATTCGTGAAAGGCGCTAATTCATAGCTTACTTCCAGAGCAGAAACTAAATAAAACCGCCGCATGTCAAAAAGGAGAGATGATGAATCAAAACAAAGAGCACTACCACTTCACCAGAATGTATAATAGTACGCTAAATCGCAGGGTAGAATCCATAGAGTGAAGGGTCATATGTACCTGACATATCCGTCATTGTCCAAGTCAGCAGCGACTAAATCTCCCAAAGTCATCTTCTGCTGGAGAACCCAGTTTGCAATCAGGCGATTCCTCTTGTCGACTCTCAGTTCGGTTAGGTACACAAATGCCTTAGCAACGGCCAATGTACTCAATAGCAGCCACACTATTGCGAAACACCTTCCTTTCGCAGTCGAAAACCCACAATCTCCATAACCAACCGTGGTCACTGAAATGACAGACAGATAAAAGCTATCAACCCAACTCAAATCCTCCAAGAAACGAACCGTCACCGTCCCCAGGGCAATGCAAATTAAGACTACACCTAAGGCCAAGCAAACTTTGATCCTTATCCTCATCCTGCCCTTTTCTTTATCGACCATATACGTCTGAACCATCGCATTGAAGCTGTTCTCATCCACAGTGCTCAACATTACGGCTTCCTGCCGATCGCAGATGTAGGTGACCAAACCATTGAGCAGAATCCCAAGTAATCCGAATCCTGCCAGGATGAACACGCAAGTGAATAGCTTGGTAAATGTGGTGCTTGGGACGATATCGCCGTAACCGATCGTGCAGAGCGTGACCACAGTGAAGTACACGGCGTCGATGAATCTCACCGTCTCCTGGCCCTCGAAATTTCCAGTAGTTATGTAGATGACAACGCCGAACATAAGATACACGAAGACGGCTATCAATGCTTGACGGACAATCGAAGAGGTCAACTCAGGGGCACGTCCAGGAAATGAAAGGTCGGGAACTGATTCCTTGTTGCTGCTGAACATTGAAGGAGCGGAATGCGAACGGCAAATTATCTTCTTATTGTTCAAGTTGGCAACGAAATTGACATATGAAGAAGAAGAACGGGGTGTCCTCGGAATGGTGATACCGGCATCATGGGCGACATCACGTGCGCCGGAAGGAAGATTATCACACGCCGAAATGCCGGATTCCTCTGCTTCTCTAGGATTCAAGAGAAAGGGTTCGTTTTCCATGACGAAACTGCAACAATAGGAAGTAGGAAAGGAACGGCGATAGCTTCTGAAAGAGAAATGATACGTTCTTGAATTCAAGCAAACAGTCCACCTATAAGTCAATGCTTTGGTTGAAGAAGCGAAGGTTCTTGACAGGTAGTTCGTTCAAGATTCACAATACCCAGATCCGATTTTCAACTTTCATTGGGGAGGGGTGATTAGCAGATGATGAAATTTTATTCGATCCAATGGAAAACTCCATTGATGTGATGTTACTACTTGAGTTGTATAAAACAAAAGGGAAGTTTTGGCAGTTAGTGCTAGCGATCGGGAAGTGCAAACTCAAAAAGGTTACCAAACTATAAGACGAGGATCCGTCCTAAACTTAATTGCAAACCTTGTGCTTAAAATGTTTTTAAAAAGCATCATACCTGCCATTCACACCCGGTCGTAGTAGATAGCCATCATCTTGCGATAGAGATTGAATCAAGACCACGAGTAATGAACCCCGCCAAGAGGGCGGGCGTTCGGCCTCTTGGCGGGGCAAGCGATAGTGTAGACCATGTTGTCATGATGAATTAGTTTATTTAGGCAAAACATGGCTAATTGAGAGCGGCAATCGCTACAAGGCGGAGATGATCATTAAGCAACCCTGTGCCTCAATTCAGGCCCTCGCACCAATAGAGAAACTATGAAGTATATATCAGTTCGGTGGGTCGGGTCAAGTTTTATAACTTAATGCTCTCAACCAACACTCCAAATTGCTCTTCGGTGCTATTTGGTCAAGGCTCGTAGATTGCCGGTGCATGATCAGGTCTACTATATGGACACTTTCGCGCGTTGCATAGTCTGTAATCATTTTTGTATATTCTTTAAATATTTTATAATGACATAAAGCGACGTGCGTGATGACATTGAGTAGAGGATGAAAGTGTCAATCATCGTACAAACTACTAAACGAAGGACGAATGCTTAAGGCTTGTATTGCGAGCCCAAACACCACCAAAAGCTAGACTTCATTGTTGCCCATTATATGTGTACAAAATTTAGGGTTATGCTGCGATCGAGTTTAGAGGTGACCAATGAGAGCGATCTAACTAGGCCGGGCCTAATTTGTTGCCCAAGCTCACCCATAAGGACAATTTCATGAGCCCAACGGGGCCGGGCCGGACTTTATAACTAAATTGCCTTTGTCCAAACCTGCCCGAAAGTACCCTTCAGGCCCATCTAGTTTGAGTGGGCCCGTAGACAGTCAAATCCATCATGGTCTATATAATTAGGTTGTTATGTTATCATCGTACCTCTGTGAAGTGGCACACATGCATCGTACTTTCATGTCGCCTAAAACTAACTCATTTTAACAGTTTATCTACAAATTTCCCCCCTTCCGCATTTCTTTCTTCTGTTCGACTTTCCTCTCCTCGCACTCTCTCCCGCGTGACTAATTAGACCTCAACTGTCCTCGTCCATCTACCAAACTTGATGCTCTATTTACAGGACAATTTCGAAAATGCAGTGGAACTTTGCACCAGGAACCTTGCCCGATGCAGGGAGCTTGCTGAACAAGGGCTAAATAGCGCCCCCCCCCCCCCCGGGCCACGCGCACCAGGCCTTTCCCCTTGCTTATTACGCCCGGCCCGCGTCGTGTCGGGTAGCGCGGGCCCTAGGCCTGTGCCAATGCTAGCTCGGCACTGGCGCTGGAGCGCCGGGAGGGCTGATCATACTATAGGTCACATAAATGTCACGTAATTGTGACTTTATTATTACCATGCATCAAGGAAGGGAACAAAATCTCAAAATAATGGATGAAAACTAAATTCCGCATAACTCGATTCTATATGGTGAACGAAATCTCAAAAATTAGGGATCTTCTGTGCACTCAAGTTCAACAATGGTTCCCATTCAACGTGAATTTTTTTTGACGTATATACTTAATTAGTAGCTAGAGATTAAATGGGAGTTTTTTTTTTTCAAGAACCGAGTAATTTTTGGTCGACCCTTTTGCTCACTTTTTTTTTGGTACGGTGCTGGGCCAAGCTGGGCTCGGCCCAGCCCATTTGGGATATACACAGAACGAGGACACGACGGTAATTACAGGATTCGCTGACCGGTGACCGTTGTGGAAGTTAAAAGAGACAGTTGGGTGAAGTGAGGTTCGAAGCACCCCGTTTCTTCCTGTGAGAAACAGAGTCCGTCCGCCCTCTGTCAGCGAAGGGTGTGCAAATCACTCGCCTCCGAACCATCCCATCTCTCGCTTTCTCATAATTTGAATTCGCAGAACGAGAGAGAGAGAGAGAGAGAGGGAGGGAGAGAGTAGCATCTGGGTCTTCTTGATCGACTCCTTTCAACGGAGGAAGAAGAATGAAGGAAAAGAACAGAGAGGAGGTACCAATGGAGTTGAAGGCGCAGGTCGAGCGTATAAAGGAGATATTGCCCGATTGCACCGACCGGGAGATTTACGAGGCGCTCAAGGTCTGCAAGATGGATCCCGACGACGCCGCTCAGAGACTCCTTTCTCAAGGTTCTTTCCGCTCTCCTTCAATCTCTTCTTGTGTCTTGGTTTATAGTCTTGAGAGCAAGAGATACCCGTTGTTTTGGTTGCTTTGGGTCCAACGTAGACCCTTTGAATCAGTGCAGCTGATGTAGTTTCTCATTTAGTTCTTGACTTTTCCATTTTGATGAAACTGTCGAATTCGGGTCTCCCTGATTGACTCTACAGTGGAGACGGAGGAAAACAGAGAGGCGGTACCGATGGAGGGGAAGGAGAAAGTCGAGCGTATAAAGAAGATGGTGCCCCGTTTTGCCGAAGAATTGATTTGGGAAGTCCTCAAGCAATGCAACATGGACTCCAACCTCTCCATTCAGAGACTCCTTTCTCAAGGTTTTTACAGTCTCCTTCGATCTGTTCTTGTTCTTGGTTTAGTATTGAGAGACACGGCAATCAAGCAAAAAGACACCCATTTTTGTTGTGTTTGGATCTAACGTGAACTGTCAAGCCAAAAAGAAAAACGTGAACCCTTTGGGTGGGTGCAGCTGATTTAGTTTCTCTTTTTGTTCTTTATTTTCATTCTGATGAGATTATTAGTTTTGAGTCTTATTGATTGACTCTTCAATAGAGACTGGGAAAAACAGAGAGAGGTCACCGATGGAGCGGAATGAGCAATTCGAGCGTATAAAGGCGATGGTGCCCCGTTTCACCAAAGAAGACCGAGAGGGGGTACCGATGGAGTGGAAGGAGCAAGTTGAGCATATAAAGGAGATGATGGCCTGTTTCACCGAAGAAATGATTTACGAAATGCTCGAGCAATGCTACATTGACTCCGACCTCACCCTGCCGAGACTCCTTTCTCCAGGTTTTGCACGCTCCATCCATTCTTTGTTCTTGTGGTCCGTTAGTCTTTAGAGGAATTGCCATCAAGCAAAAAAGCACCTCATTTTATTTAAAACAAGAAATGTAAATTTTTTTTTGTTTCTTTGTTTCCACATTTGATTATACAATCAGATGGCCTTTTGATGTTTTCTTTTGGCTTCAGCATATTTTGTTCTCTTTGGTTCCTTCTTGTTTGAAAAAAGAGAACATCATTTTCTGATGTGCTTTTCATTGTTTTGAATTTTATTTAGATGTTCTTGTTTAGGTGTCATGCGAGACAAGCATAATAAAGTCGACAACTTAGGCTTGTTAGGTTATGCGCTTGAAGCCATATTAAAGACAGACATGCATTTTCTTCTTTTTGCAATGCAAGCCGATAAAAAATGTCTTTGCAGAATTAGAAGAGCAGTGTAAGTTTTCTCTGATGATTCAATCAGATTCATGCTCTGATGATGATTCCAGCAGGGTTCAGGGTGAGCTATGAAGGCTAAATCAAAATTTGTGTTATTCAAAAACTTTTCTAATGAAACAGGTCAGATGGAAATACTAGTCTATTGCTCTGGCCATAATTTCTAGCATTTGAATGAGGAATTTAACTGCTTGCAGAGAATTTTTCTCTGGTGCATTTGCAGTTTGAGTTGCATATTAAAATTGTTTTTGGCTTACAATGGGGTCGGTAGTGGGTGAGGTTTGTTGGTTGTATGATCTTTTTCGTTCCATACGTATCTGCAGTTGCTGGAAGTCACCATAGTGAGCCCTATTAAGGAGTTCTTGTCATCTGGACTGGTAGGATTTTGAGCAAGATAGAGGTGCATTTCATGCATTAGTCCTAAGCTTTAGGATTGATCTTGAAGGTAGACGTTGTTGATAACATTTAGCATTATTCCACATAGCATTTTAACATTGAAGCACTCGTGATGAATTCATCTCTTTGCCGGATGATCTATGTAGCAATGTTTAAGTTCATTGACACAGTTCCCCTTCTTTCACCTTTACCAATAAGAGCGCTCTTCAATTTCAGAAACGCCTAGCAATTCAGGATCACTGTTGAATAATTTTTCATCACCTCCGAGCAATGCCAAGTCATCAATAGCTTCTCAGTTGCACAGTGTAAGTTTTGACAAAGGGAAGGAAGTTGTTCGCCGCACAGAGGATGACGCTGCAACTACGTCAAGAAGTAATGTCCGAGCCTTGCGTGCCAAGGGTCCTTGGAATTCCCATGCAGTGCAAGCTGGTTCTAATCCAATGGCTCTTGGACATGATGTGGCTAGTTCCTCCAGAGACGATTCGGGATATAATGAGGCTCTTGGAAGTTCTGAGTTTCTGGAATATAAAATCTTCCCACCGCCGACACAACAGGTACAATTCTTTACATATCACATTTGACTACTGAGTTTGCTTATTTATGCTTACAGCTTTAAAACTCTTCAGTGCGGCTAGTTGACTATTGTCCTCAGCCTTACTCTTTAGTAAGTCAAACTAGTTAATGGCAACATCCAATGCCTAACTGGATGACTTCTCAGTTCTCACTATTATGTTTCCGACCATGTTCGATTGGACACTACAGGTTCTACAGCTAAACATAATGGGTTTGGCTATATTAGTTTACTGTTGTTTGGTGTTGACCATATTTTCCTTTTGTTTGCGTGATCTTTTCTGTCTCCCCAAGTTATTCAAAAAATCATTGACCATCCAATTTTTTGTTTGATATGTGCATCTATGAGAGTTTGCGTTGACCACTATTTTTTCGTTATGTTGCTAATTCATTTCCACAGTATGGAATATCATTCACGCTGAGTGATTTGGTGGCAAATGCTGATCAACCGTCAGAACTTCAACGTCTCCTTAGATTCCCCTTTCTAGACACCTCATCTGTACCCTCAAGATCCAGTGCTGCGGGGTCTCAGCACCCACAAACATCTACGTCAGAGGTATGAAAATTTTAGGCTTTTAGCTTGCGTAATTTTCCTCTAGTGGATAACACAATCAAGTGCCTTTTCATCAATTTACTTCCCAAAACGAAAATGGGAAATCTTCGAATTATGGAGTTCCATAGTTTTAAGGGAATTGAATAGATTGTTTTTTGAAAAAATCTTCTACAACAACCTCTAAGTAGCAGTTTTGTGATGTGCTTTGGTAAGTAATAAGAAGGCGATACATGACTGTATTCATTGAAACTATAGAACCTTTGTCAGTCTTACATATGTGGTAGGGTACTTCTGCATCATTCTCTTCTGTTTCGAAATCCTTATCTATTGAGCATTGCAGCTGTCTAAATGCAGACAGTATGATTTATTTATTTCTTCCTTCTTGCTCATTGTCAAACCCAAGTAATTCAGCAACGTCTCGCATTCAGCCTTTTAGGGATCCACAAGATCCAGTCCTTGATGCCCCGTTTGCATGCTCAAGATATAGTCCTATTCAGCATCCAGGAAAAATGTCAGAGGTCTGGTAGTATTTAGCTCCATTTTTCCCCTTCTATGGAATGCATGATGCTGGCCTTTTCTCTCAGCTGATTTCGCCATAAAGGAAACAGCAAATTCTGATACTAATGATTGTACCTTCAGAGGCACAGAATTTTTTTTGATGTGGTTTAGTAAGTAATAAGATGGTGTGATGTGACTGGTTTAATTGAAACAGTACAACATTTGACTTATACATCGAACTGATATGACAATGCTGTCAGCTGTGGGCATCCTTAATGTTAGCTTCTATTAGCGAAATAACCACAAATAACGCATGTAGTTGCAATCCTTCGAGCTCCATAAAAACTTTAGAGCATGTATGCTAAAGGATTGCAACAGACAGACAATACACAAGCAAAACTGACTGCCGAGTATATTCATGATTTTACAAATGTTTGAAAGGGAATACTAATTGTAGATCAACGAGTAAAGATAGGCCACGCTTGTGGGTTTTGTTGTTTGATTGCCAGTTACCACTATAACTCATGTTTGGAACAGTCTTTGTAGTTTCCTAAATGCCGATTGTTTGTAACCTATTCATCCTTCCATGTGTCAAACCCTTGATTGAATTGCTGCATTTTAACCATTTGCAATAATCGCCTGTGTTTCTTCTCCACAGAGTGGACTATCAGAAGCCACCCCAAGTAATTTGCTGAGACGTTCCATTCAATCTACTCCGAGAAATGCACTTGATCTTCCCTCCTCGCGATTCCATCATGCCCACTCTGTATCTGTGAGATTCAGTATTTTGCTTTTATAAGGAATTCGTAAATGTTGATGCTTGGCCTTCAGATTGAGTACCACAGTCTAGGGGGGCTGACTAGGTTGCATCTCTGTCAAGTTAAACTATTAGTTTATTGATCAAGCATGACATTCTAGACTATGTACTCTAGAAATTTGAAGCAGTGCTTTCAATTGATTTCTCAGAATGCACAATCTTTCACATCAAGTGCTTCCATCCATCAGTCACTAGAGACCCCGATTCTAGGAAACAATATGTCCACTGGCCGTGGATTTACACGTCCAAACATAGAACTGAGCTCCAATGAGCCTCAGTGCCCCCTGCAACAACATGGTTCCATGGACGAGGGTGACAATATGCATCAGAACTTTGTATATGATATGCCATCTGCTCAACAAGAGGTGCATCAAGGTCGTAGCTCGTCTCGGGCCAATGCTGATGTTTCTGGTCGGGGAAGCTTCCTGGGCGCGGGAAGTACACCTCATCCATATCTGACTAATTCACCTACACCCTCTGACATATCCAGGACCGGCTACGACTCTGCATTGCACTATCAGGCTCAGCATCAGCAGAGAAATGATTGTCGCCCTGCAGGAATGGCAAAGAAAGTTTGGATCCCACTTGGATGGCTTTTGTATCTACTAGTGCTAATCTCCCCGACAGAATTGTAATGCAGTGATGTAGCTAATAAGTTCTCTCACCGTATGTCTTTTCTGCAGAACTATAACAACGCTGTATGGAACCAGCTGCCTGGTTCTGGAGCAAAGTCTGCGCTCCCCGAGATCCAACATGGTGGCTTCCCCGGATGGGCGCCTCTGCCTGCTGAAGCAAATAATCAGCGCGGTGAAGGATCTTCACTGCAATAAGCTTATTAAGGCCACCCGAGCTGGTACCTTCCTGAAACGAGCATCATGCTAAATCATCAGCGGCTAAGCCCACTGTCGTCGCTGATTACTGCTTGTTATCTGCATTTACAGGGAAGGCTTTCTTCCTCGAGTTTGACATAGAAGCTTTACGGGTGGCAGATTCATTGTAAAGATACTTAGGTTGCTGCTAATCCACTTTCACACACTTCCTTGTTTCCTTTGAATTGGAGATAACATAGGGGTTCTTGCTTGTCCATGTGTACATACTTTCAGCATATAATTCATTGGCTCAATATCGCCTTCTTGTTTCATAACTCTCGGGTCGGAACAGATTTCGTGCAAAGATTTTGTTCTGCAAGTAAGAGGGGGTTTTAGTGTTGCGTCCAAGGAGAATCCTAGTCGCAGGATGTTAGTTCGACCGGGTATATCTTCATAAGCTCTAGCCCTTTTTCTAATGCTCTGAGTAGGTAATTATCGCCGCGGTCGTGCCCTATTCTGCATATAGACGAACTTCAAGAGTTTCAGTACAGATACTGGGAGCTCATATAATGGCCTTCTAGAGTGTGCTTGTCCCTCTAGGAAGAGAATTGACATGAAGTCATTATCAAAGAAGTGTAAAGAGTGCATTCTTACAATCTTGTCTTAATCATTAATTCGTTCTATCAATAAGGAATGTGCTTTGTTTGAAGTTTCAAATTATTTTCGTGGAATTAAAGTGTTTAGCTTCAAATATGGTTGTAACCACATAAAACGTATAATCGCGTAATTGTCGCTTTATAAGACAAATCTATAAAATCATTTTAGCAACAATTTTAGACCATAATATTTTTAGTTGGCTGAAATATGGTCCGATGCTCATATACCATGCATCGCGGAAGGGAACAAAATCTCAAAATATAGGATAGAAATTAAATGGTAACTCGATTCTATATAGTGAACAAAATCTCAAAATTGAAGAACGTTCGTGCATTCAAGTTCAACTATTTCAGTTCGACGTGAACTTTGACATATATACGTAATTAGTAGCTAAATCACTCGCCTTCTTTCTCATTTCTTCATGTGAAAAACAGAGTCCACCCATCTGTCAGCAAGAGATACCCATTGTTTTGATTTCACTGAGTTCAACGTAAACCCTTTGAACCAGTGCAGCTGATTTAGTTTCTCATTTAGTTCTTAATTTTTCAGTTTGATGTAACTGTCAAATTTGAGTCTCCCTGATTGACTCTTCAGTGGAGACAGAGAAAAACAGAGAGGCTGTACCAATGGAGGGGAAGGAGAAAGTGTGAAATTTTGTAAGGCCATTGTCAACTCTGAAAGGTTGGTTTAATAATTAATTATTCTAACACTCTCTTTCACGTTTAGTTTGGTCTATTTGCCTTAGTACTAAGTGTGGACGTATTTAATTGCGAAGGTAAATGTGATATGGAAAGATTCGAACTAGAACCTCCCGTTCTGATACCATGATAAAAATAAAGCCGAATATAAACTTGTAGAATTTTTTCTATATTCATAATGAATTATACAAGAGCTTACTCATTGGCTTTATAGGAGGCTAACTGTAATAACATAATATTACAATAGAAATTACAATCAATCAAAATAACATGATTGCAATACATACACAGAATCATGAAATATCTTTATAGACTTTACGGGAGGCTAACTAGTAATGTTACGATAGAAAATACAATAGATCAGAATAACGGGATTGCAATCTAAAATATACACAGAATCATGAAATATTTTTCCAACAGTTTCCTTACCAAGTGTAAATAATATCTTTATGTAATAGAATCCAACAACTTTGTTCTTTAGAAAGCCGAGCGTGTAAAGAAGATGGTGCCCCGTTTTGCCGATGAATTGATTTACAAAGTGCTCGAGCAATGCAACATGGACTCCAACCTCGCCATTCGGAGACTCCTTTCTCAAGGTTTCTACACTCTCCTTCGATCCGTTCTTGTTCTTGGTTGGGTATTGAGAGACATTGCCATGCCATCTTTGCTGTGTTTAGATTTAACGTGAACCCTCCGTATACAGCCAAAAAGGAAAAAAAACGGGAACTCTTTTGGTGGGTGCAGCTGGTTTAGTTTATGGTTTTGTTCTCTATTTTCATTCTGATGAGATTGTCAAATTTTGGGTCTTCTTGATTGACTCCTCAACAGAGACGAGGAAAAACAGAGAGAGGTCATTCATGGAGTTGACGGAACAAGTCGAGCGCATAAAGGAGGTGGTGCCCCGTTTTGCCGAAGTAGACGGAGAGGGGGTACCGATGGAGTGGAAGCAGCAAGTCGAGCGTATAAAGGAGACAGTGCCCTGTTTCACCGAAGAGATGATTTGCAAAATGCACGAGCAATGCAAAATTGACTCCGACCCAGGTTTTGTATAATCTTTTTTGTTCCATACGTTTCCGCAGTTGCTGGAACTCACCGTAGTGAGTCCTTCAAGGAGTTCTTGTTGTCTGGACTGGTAGGATCTTGAGCCAGATAGAGGTGCATTTCAAACATTAGTCCTAAGGTTTAGGATTGATACGTTGTTGATAACATTTAGCATTATCCCACGTAGAATTTTCAGTACTGAAGCACTCGTGATGACTTCATCGCTTTGCCAGATGATCTATGTAGCAATGTTTAAGTTCATAGACACAGCTCCCCCCCTTTTCTCACCTTTACCAATTAGAGCGCTCTTCAATTTCAGAAACGCCTAGCAATTCAGGATCACCGTCGAGCAGTGCCAAGTCATCAGTCGCTTCTCAGTTGCAGAGTGTAAGTTTAGACAGAGTGAAGGAAGTTGCTTGCCGCACGGAGGATGATGCTGCACCTACGTCAAGAAGTAATGCCCGAGCCTCGCGTGCCAAGGGTCCCCAGAGTTCCCATGCATCAGTAGCTGGTTCTGATCCCGTGGCTCTCGGAAATAATGTGGCTAGTTCCTCCAGAAATTATTCGGGAAATAATGTCTCTCTTGGAAGTTCTAACTTTCTGGAATATAAACTCTTCCCACCACCAACACAACAGGTGCAATTTCTTTACATGTCGCATTTGACTACTGAGTTTGCTTATTTGCGCTTACAGCTTTAATACTCTTCACTCGGCTTGTAGACTATTGTCCTCGCCCTTGCTCTTAGGTAAGTCAAACTAGTTAATGGTAACATCTAAAGCCTAACCGGATGACTTCTCAGTTCTCACTATTATGTTTCCAGCCATGTTCGATTGGACACTACAAATTCTACAGCCGAACGTATTGGGCTTCGATATATTAGTTTACTGTTGTTTGGTGTTGGCTATCTTTTCTTGTGTTTTACTCTGTCTCTCCTAGTTATTCAAAATCATCCACCATCCGTCTTTTGTTTGATATGTGCATCTATGAGAGTTTGTGTTGACCACTTTTTTTTTCGTTATGTTGCTAATTCATTTCCACAGTATGGAAAATCGTTCATGCTGAACGTTTTGGTGGCAAACGCTAATCAACCGTCAGAACTTCGTCGTCTCCTTAGATCCCCCTCTCTAGACTTCTCTGAACCCTCAAGATCCAGTGCTGCGGGGTCTCAGCACCCACAAACATCTACATCAGAGGTACGAAAAATTTAGGCTTTTAGCTCACGTCATTTTGCTTTCGTAGATAACACAATGGAGTGCCTTTTCATCAATTCACTTCCCAAAAAGAAATGGGCAAATCTTTGAAATATGGAGTGCCATACGATAGTTTTAAGGGAATTGAATAGATTCTTATTTTGAAAAGATCTTCTACAGTTAGTAGAGATATAGTGATGTGCTTTCATAAGTAATGAGAGTCGTATGACCTCTTCTTTCGTTTTGAAATCCATGTCTATTAAGCATTGCAGCTTTCTAAATGCAGACAGTAAGATTTATTTTTCGTCTGTTGTCAAGCCCTCGTATGACTTGGTCCTTGCTTTTTCTTTCTTTTATTGCTGATTCTTCTCCACAGAGCGGTCCATCAGAAGCTACCCCAACGTCTACCATTCAGACTTCTAGGGATCCTCAAGATCCGGTCCTTGATGCCCCCTTTGGTGTCTCAAGTTACGGTCCTATTCAGCGTCCTGGGAGAATGTCAGAGGTATGGTGGTATTTAGCTGCTTTGTTCCCCTTCTATGGGATGCATGCTGCTGACCTTTTCTCTCAGCTGATCTCTCCATGAAGAAAATGCAAATATTGATTACCTCAGAATTGTACCTTCAGAGGCATGAAAGTTTCTTTTGATGTGACTTAGTAAATAATAGATATGGATTTACCACAATAATTCGTGTTCGGGACAATCTTTGAAGTTTCCTAAATGCAGATTGTTTGTAACCTATTAATCCTTCTTTCTTTGTGTCGGACCCTTGATTGAAATATTCCATTTTAACGATTTGCATTTATTGCTGCTAATTCTTCTCCAAAGAGTGGACGATCAGAAGCTACCACAAGTAATTTGCCAAAATGTTCCATTCAATCTTCCTGGAGAAATTCAACTTGTCTTCCCTTCTCGCAATTCCATCATGCTGACGCCCACTCTGTATCTGCGAGATTCAATATTTTGCATCTATAAGGAATTCGTAAATGTTGATACTTTGAACTTCAGATTGAGTACTGCAGTCTAGGGGCGCTGACCAGGTTGCGTCTCCTTCAAGTTGAATCATAAGTTTTGATTGAGTAGGACAAACTACTGTACTTTGAAAATTGAAGCAGTTCTTCCAATTGATTTCTCAGAATGCACAACCTTTCACAGCAAGTGCTTCCATCCATCGGTCACTGGAGACCCTGTCGCTAGGCAACAATATGTCCGCTTGCTGTGGATTTACACGTCCATACATAGTACCGAGCTTCTATCAGCCGCTGTGGCCCCTGCAACAACATGGTTACATGGATGGGGGTGACAATATGCATCGGAACTTCGGTTATGATATGCCATCTGCTCAACAAGAGGTGCATCAAGCTGGAAGCTTGTCTCGGGCCAATGCTGACGCTTCTGTTTGGGGCAGCTACCCAGGCACAGGGAGTACGCCTCCCGGATCTCTGACTATTTCACCTGCACCCTCTGATATTTCCAGGGGTGGAAACGACTTCGCATTGCACGCTCAGGCTCAGCACCAGCAGAGAAAAGATTATCGCCCTGCGGAAGTGGTAAAGAGAGCTCAAATCCCACTAAAATAGCTTTTCTATCTACTAATGCTGGTCTCACTGACAGTCTTGTAATGCAGTGATGCTAGCTAATCAGTTCTCTCATTTTATCTGTCTTTCCTGCAGAACTATAGCTACTCTGTGTGGAACCATCAACCCGATTCAGGAGCAATGTCTGCGCTCCCCGAGCTCCAACTTGGTAGCTTCCCCAGATGGGGGGCCTCCGCCTGCTAGAGCAAATAATCAACGCAATGAAAAAATGTTCGCCGCAATATGCTTATCGAAGCTACCCGAGCCGGCAACTTCCTGAAACGAGCGTCATGCCAAAGCGTCAGTAGTAAGGACCATATGATATGACCACGAGCGATTTGCAGGACCCATCAACAATGCAACCACCTCGAGCTACGCTGTTATCGCTGATTACTGCTTGCTATCTCCATCTACAGGGAAAGCTTCCTTCCTAGAGTTTGACATAGAAGCTTTAAGTCGTTCAAACTGTTCTAAAAGCTTAATTGGTGTTCGGACAGTTTTTTTCACGCAAAGATTTTGTTCTGCAAGTAGGGGGTTTTGACATGGCGTAGATCCTTCTAGTTGCAGGATGTTAGTTAGACTGTATATATCTTCCTAGACTCTAGACCTTTTCCAATGCTTCGACAAATAATCACCAGAGTTGCACCGCCCTATTCTGCATTGAATGAACTTCAAATTGTTTCAGCGAGTTACTGAGAGCTTATATTATAGCTTCCTAGAATGTGCTCGTCGCACGCAATTGACGTGAAGTTATAGTCAATTGGGAATCGAAGTGAAACGAGTACATACCTTTTGAAATTCAGAATTCGCCTTACCAGAGAGTTTGGTCCCTGACTGTATACCTTGCCAGGGTTGGCACTGTCCTGATCATGGCGGTATCGTTCATTAACCCGACTCGATCGCCTACCATTGGATGAGGATGACGACGACGATGATGCAGTTTTAGTGGCAACTGAAAATCAGCATTATTGGAACTTGCTTAATGAAACATCTCGCGGAATTTATTAGGCCCTCTAGTAAACAAAATGCCCGCCCGACCCGAAGCGCGATCGGGCAGGCCTAAGCAAGCCATTTTCTCGTCACTCCGATCGTCCGGTCATTTTGACGAGAGGAGTTTTCGACCCGATACACACTAGGCAGGAGTTGCCCATCTAACAAGGTACAGATACTCACTCCAATGAGTAATGCACGGTTTGATTGGATGCTGTCGTATGTTTTTTTTACATTCGACGGTCCTCACTAATCTCACCCATAATAAATATGTTTTCTTGATACATAATTAATCAAATATTGGGGAAAATATATATCTATATAGCAAATGAATTTTCTTTTAGCAAAATTGAGCTTGTCAAATATATTTTTTTCTCGAATATATGTTGCGGATGGCTCTCTTGGCCCAGGCCCATTTGGAGTTTCGAACGAGGGGCATGACCGTAAATACGGAAATTCGCTGACCTTTCCGGTTGTGGAAGTTAAAAGACAGTTGGGTGAAGTGAGTTTCTGTGAAGCACCTCATGTTCTTCATGCGAAAATAGAGTCGACCCATTCGAAAAAGAAAAACCCATTTCTCTCTCATAATTTGAATTCGTAGAGCTTGAGAGAAAGAGAGTAGTAGCAGTCTCCGGGAGTTCTTGATCGACTCTTGTGAACAGAGAGAGAGAGAGAACGATGGGGAAGAAGAAGAAGAACAGAGAGAAGTCTGAGGTATCAGTGGAGGCAGAGGAGGAAGTTGGTCGTCGAAATTTCCCCGGGCAAGAGATTTTTGAAGTTTTCAAGAGATACGCAATGGCCTTCGGAAACTTCATTCGGACGCGCTTTTCTCGAGGTTTTTACGCGCTTCCGTTATTCTCTGTTTTTGTTGCTGGAGAGTGGTATCTTCTTGATCGACTCTTGATGAACAGAGAGAGAACAAGAAACGGGGAACGAGGAGGAGGAGAAGAAGAAGAAGAAGAAGAAGAAGAAGAGAAAGAAGAAGAAGAAGAACAACGAGAAGGTAGAGGTTCCAATGGAGCCACAGGAGCCTGGGCAAGAGATTCACGAAGCACACGAGGAATGCGAAGTGGACGCCCGCAACGCCATTCTGAGACTCCTTTCTCCAGGTTTTTACACGCTTTTGACATCCTCTGTTTTTGGTTGCTGGTTAACTCTTGAACAGAGTCACTGCAATCAAGCAAGAAAAACCCATCATTTTGTTTTCTTTTGATTCAGTGCGACGTGAACCCTTTGCATCATTGAAGTTGATTTAATTTCTCGTTTTTCTTTATTTCCTTTTACTTTCCATTCTGATGAAATTATCAACTTTGGGTCTTCTACCGGCAGAGGAGAAGGAGCAAGTGGAGCATATAGAGGCGATTATGAACGGTCAATTCACCCGAGAAGGTGTCTGCGAAATGTACATGCAATGCAACAGGGACCTTGACCTCACCACTCAGAGACTCCTTTCTCTAGGTTTTACACACTTGCACGTCATCTATCCCATGTTCTGGTTTTTATTAATCTTGAGAGGCATTGCCATCCTTTGAACCGGTGAAGTTTTTTTAACTGTCTCCCTTTTTTTGCTAGCTCCCCTTTGAATGAAATTATCAAAAAGGTTGAACTCATACCATACATTTATCAGCGATGTTCTTGTCAAGGTGCTGTGCAACAGATGTATAAATAAAGTCCAAAACTTCGGCGTGATAGTCTTGTTCTTGAAGCCATATAAATGGCAGTTATATGCATGTTCTGATTTCGATTACGATGCTAGCCAACAAGATCATAGTTAACCATGCCAAGAATGTCTTTTTGCAGAACTAGATGCGCAGTGTTAGTTTTCGATGATCATTCTATCTGTTTCATTTACGATGATGGAATGTCCTTGGTTACAAATGTACTTATACATTCACACATGCATATTTCCCTTCTTAAGGAGTCGCCCATGCCATTTTCTTCTGGGAACTGCTAATTTGTTATTATTTGAATCTTTGTAGGTGGATTTGAAAAAGTGAAGAGCAAACGAACAAAGAAAAAAGAGGTAATGTTTGCAAAGCATGAGCATAATATTTACTTATGCTTATCTGTGATGTTTATGCCTTCATAATTACTGAATGTTATGCTAAAAACAGTTTTTTCCATATAAGTGTATAGACTCATGCAGTAAATTCGGACAAGAGGTCATTGTAGAATTTAATCCTAAGTTTTTATAAGTTGTGATAAGTGGTCCGAAATTGTTTGCCTTGAAACTGCACAATGATGTCATGCTGAACATGACACGAATTGGGAAAAAGAGCTGTTCTTCCTCAACACCGCTTTTGACGTCTTATGCAATTCCATTCTCTGCTCTTGCCCTCTCTTCACTATCTGCATCATTGAATTGTCCAGAGGATCAATGCGCAAGAGTCTAAGTCACAACACGAAGTTGGCAGCAGCAGCAGCGTCTTAAAACAAGGGGGAAGTGTTGTTGATGATGCTGGAAGAACAGATACAACTCATGACAATACAGTCCAGGATCTTCAGGGTGGGGCATACAGCATGTAGTTTATAGGGAAGGCTAAACCAGCTTTCTGTCGTTCAAAACTTTTCGAGTCTGACATGTTTATAGTATGCTAGCCAATCCTTCTGGCCAGAGTTTCTGGCATCATAATGAGAAACAAACTGCTTGTGGCTGATTTTTCTATCATGGCATCTTCTATGTCTGCTATCTGAATGAAATGCTGATAGCTTTAAATTGCTTTTGGGGACTATTGCTCGGAATGGTATCAGTTCCCAACAAGCCATGCGGATATCAGTTTTTTTTTTTTTTTGTTCATAGTGAGTACTTAAGGAGTTCTTGTTGCTTAGCCACGCGGATATCAAATAGCATGCTAAGGGTCAGGGTTGTAATCTTGATTTCTAGATTCTGTTTACTATTGTCATTCATCAATCTGCAGTCTGTTAGTGAAGAACTTATGGTGACTTCAAATTGTATGATGTCATTGTGTAACAATCTGCGGAAGCGTGGACGTCCGTATTTCTTAATCTGCATATGGAAGATCGCGACCAGATTATCTTAGTCTCCTTTGTGTCTTTTTAACAAATGATCCATCTCATAATGTTAGAATTCACCACCTTAGCTGGTTTTTCACCTTTACAAATTGTAACACTCTTCAATTTCAGAAGCGGATAGCAAAGCAAGATCACAGTTGGATAATGGTTCATCACCTCCGGCTGCTGCTGTGTCATCAGTGGCTTCTCAATTGCCCAGTATAAATATAGGGAAAGGGAAAGGGAAGGAAGTTATTCGAAGCACGGGTGATAACACTGCAGTCATATCAAGAAGCCATGTCCCGCCCTTGCTTGCCGTGGGTCCATCAAGAATCCATGCATCAAGAGCTGGTTCCGATCCCAGGGTATCTAGAAACAATGTGGTTAGCTCCTCTAGAAATTATTCGGGAAAGTTTCCTGCAGCATCAGGCGGTTCATTGACCTCACGCAACAGGTACGTGCTAGTGTTTTTGTTAAATTCGTCTGTTTCTACAAATGAAAAAAATTGAAGTGAGTTCAGTGGTGAAAGATTGATCAGGGGCCCACGGACTTATGCAAGTGTAGCCCGCGTAGGGATGCCTTTGGAGCAGGAAGAACGGTTGATCCCACGTAGGGATGCATGTGAAGCCCGGCCGGATGCATCCAATCCCAATTCTGGAAGTTCTAGGACTTTGGAATGTGAACTCTTGCCAACTTCAAGTGAACCAGTATGATTTCTTTAGATATTCCCCTTTCCTCTCTTTTGATTCTACTCTTCATTTTGGCCCCTAAAATGTTGACGCCAAGTAGTCCTCTACGTAGCCGACTTCAACCCCAAATCTACTGTTTGCCTTCTCTTCACTATCTGCATTATTGAATTTTTCAGAGGATCCATGCAGAAGAGTCTAGGACTCAACATGAAGTCGGCAGCAGCATTGTAAAACAAGGAGGAAATTGTGATGATGATGCTGGAAGAATAGATACAACTCATGACGATACAGTCGAGGGTCTTCAGGGTGAGCAGACAGCATGAACTTCATATGGAAGGCTAAACCAGTTCTCTGTCATTCGAAACTTTTTGAATCTGACGTGTCTTGTAGTATACTAGCGGATCCTTCTGGCCAGAGTTTCAGGCATCTTAATGAGAAATCAACTGCTTGGGTCTAATTTTCGTCTCGTGCATCCCTTGTGTCTGCTATCTGAATGAAATGCTGATAGAGTAGAATTGCTTTTTGGGGACTATCGCTCGGAATGGTGTTGGTTGCCAACGAGGCATGCTGATGTCAGATATCTTTATTTGTTCATAGTGAGTCCTTTAAGGAGTTTTTGTTGTCTAGACAGGCGCGAATTTGGGACAGATAGAGGTAAAAATTTCATAAATTAGCATGATATGGCTCTGGATTGTAATCTTGATTTCTAGATTCTGTTTATTATTGTCATTCAACTATCCCCAGTCTGTTCGTGAAGCACTTGTGGTGACTTCAAATAGTATGATGTTACCATCTGGGGAAGCATGCGGTATTTCTTATTCTGCATATGGAAGATCACGACATGATGGTCTTAGTATACTTAATGTCCTTTTACCATATGATCTGTCTCACAATGTTAGAAGTCACCCTCACAGCTGGTTTTTCACCTTTTCAAATTATGACGCTCTTCAATTTCAGAAGCGGATGGCAACGAAATATCACTGTTAGATAATGTTTCATCACCTCCGGCTGCTGCTGTGTCATCAGTTGCTTCTCAATTGCACAGTCCTAATATAGGGAAAGGGAAAGGAGAGGAAGTTGTTCCAAGCATGGGTGAAAACACTGCAGTTATATCAAGAAGCCACGTCCCGCCCTTGTGTGCCGTGGATCCTCTGAGACTCCACGCATCAAGCGCTGGTTCTGATCCCAGGGCATCTAGAAACAATGCGGCTAGCTCCTCCAGAAATGATTGGGGAACATTGCCAACAGAATTAGGCAGTTCATCAACCACTCGCAGCTGGTACATGCTAGTGTCTTTGTTCATTTCGTCTGTTTCTGTATGTTCGGTTCATACCCATATCATTATTGATTTGCTGTTGGTTTTGCAAATGAAAGGAATGAAGATACGTTCAGTGGAGAAGGACAGATCTGGGGCCCTTGGGCAGTGTTTTTGCCACCAGAGCCGCAAAAATGGGAGATCCCACATACGTATGCATGGGACGCCCAGGCCGACGCATGCAACCCCAATCCTGGAAGTTCGGGAACTTTGGAACGTGAACTCTTGCCAACTTCAAATGAACCGGTATGAATTCTTTATATATTTACTTTTCATCTCTTTTGATTCTACTCTTTCATTGAGGCCCCTAAAATGTCGATGCTAAGGAGTCCTCTTTAAATCATGCGGAGTAGACATATGAATATCGCACGTGCCTCTATGAGTGTTAACGCTTTTTTCCATGTAGACTATTTGGCACCAATCCTTCCTTCCTTTCCGTTGTTTGTCTCTAGACTGTATTTGTTCGGTTTCAATCTTTTCATTGCATTGCTATTTCATTTCAACAGCATGGACCACCATACACATCATCGCATGATTGTCTGTCACAATGGGTTGCTCGACCAACAGAACATCATCCTTCTGAATCACCATCTCGCAACACCCCGTCTGTTGGGCCTCAATTTGAGCTTCCAGAAATATCTGTGTTAGAGGTATGAAAGTAGTAGACTTTTGGCTCATGTATTTTCCCTTGTGAAATGCCCTTCCCATTGATTCACCTCTTAAAGGAAAACGGGCAAATCCTGGCATTTGAGAATCATTCTTTACACGTGGCTTATGAAACAAGATGGCTGAAAAATATTCTTTTTGGTCCGTGGATTAGAAGTTTTGTGATGTGCTCTAATGAGTGACATGACGGCGTTATACGACTGTTTTTCTCGAAACTGTAGGACCTTTTCCAGTCCCACGTAAGTGGTAGGACATCTTCATTATTCTCTTCTGTTTTGATATCTATAACATCGAGCATTGCAGCTTTCTAAATGCAGAGAGAATGATTTATCGTTTTTCCCTTCTTATGGTCAAACCTTTGAATGGCTTTGTCCATTTAACCACTGCTTTTTTCGTTGCTAATTCTTCTCCGCAGAGTGGTCCATCAGAAGATACCCCAAGTAATTCGGCTACATCTTTCATTCATCCGTTAAGAGAACCTGAACCTCTTCACTTGCCAATTCTTGATGCCCCACTTGCACCCTCAAGATGTGGTCCTATTCAGCGTCCAGCAACAATGTCAGAGGTATGCAAGTTTTTAGCTCATGGTTTTTTTCTTCTTTTATGGATGCATGATGCTCTCCTTTTTCCTTGGCTGATTTCTCCATAAAGAAAATAGCAAATTATAATACCGAGAGAATTGTGTATGAAACCTGAAGATGGGGCTAAAGTTGTGTGATGGTGCTTTAGCAAGTAATAAGATGGTGTCATACGACTGTTTTATTGAAGCTAGAAACCTTCGACTTATTCATTGAACTGATACTCTACAAGGTTGACATGATTATGCTGTGGGCATCCTAAATGTTGGTTCCCACTAGTGAAAGAATCTCAGCGATGCATGTCATCTCAATCCTTTGAGCTCTAGACAAAACCTCACCTCATTTAGTTCTGGATTTACAACAGCAACTTCAGCCATTTTAATACTCTTTTAGTGTCGGTAGGACATTGTTGTCCCTGGCAAGTTGGCATTGCTTCCTCCATGTTCATATTTCCAATTGTGACAGATAATACCAAAATGACTGCCAAGTATATTTATGATTTCACAAATGCTTGAAAGAACAATACTAATTATAGATCAACATTAAAGATCGGCCATGATTGTGGGTTTTCTTGTCTGATATCGCCAGTTACCACTATATCTCGTGTTTGGGACAATCTTTGGAGTTTCCTTAATGCAACATGTTAATTTGTTGATCCTTCCTTCGTATTCACAGATAATTGAATTACTTCTTTTTAACCATTGCTTTTTGCTGCTAATTCCTTCTCCACAGCATGCATTATCAGAAGCTGGCCCAAGTAATTCGCTGAGATGCTCCATTCAATTTAACCGAAATGATTTACCTGACCTTCCCTTCCCACCATTCTATCACAGTGACGCCCAATATGTACCTATGATGTACATTTTAATGGAGTGTCCAGCAGTGATGTCAGTGGTATGCAATCTTTTAAGCACAGCCTATTTATCCATAATGAATTCGTAAATTTTGATACTTTTTCCCTCAGATTGAGTTCGACATTCTAGGGGGTCTGACTATATTGCAACTCCGTCAAGTTGAATTCCTAGTTATTGATAAGGAAAGTGCTTGATGGACAGAAGCCTTTGGGTGATGTGTTTTAAGAAAGTTTAAGGTGGTGTGCCACAGATGTTTTTTAATTGAAACCAGAAAAAGCAGATTTCTAGATGACTGGAACCTTAGTTTCCACAATGCTGCAAACTTCTAAAAGCAGTGCTTTCAATTGATCAGAATGCACCACCTTCTACACCAAGTGCTTCCATCCATCAATCATCACAGACCCTGCTTCGAGGCAATAATTTGTCCACTGGCCGTGGATTTACACATCCCTACATGGGACCAAGCTACTATCAGCCTTGGCTGGCCCTGCAATATGGTCACATGAATCGTGATGGGTATGTGCATCAGAACCTCGGATATTATATGACATCTCAACAAGAAGTCTATCAAGGTGGCATCTTGTCTCAGGCCAATGCCGGACCTTATAGTAGGGGAAGCTTTCAGGGCATAGGAAGGCCGTGCTATCAATCTCCGCCAATTCCACCTTCTTATTCACCTGGCCCCATTAATATTACTTGGACCTGCAATGACTCCAGATTGCATGCTCAATACCAGTATAGAAATGATCATCGCCCTTTAACAATTCATGGACTGGCCACAACTCCACATGGTAGCTTCCCTGGACAGGTGTTTCTGCTATTTACACCTTCTTCACCTGGCCCCTTTAATATTCTTTGGACCAGCAATGACTCCACATTGCATGCTCAGTACCAGTATAGAAATGATCATCGCCCTTTAACATTTCATGGACCGGCCACAACTCCACATGGTAGCTTCCCTGGACAGGTGTTTCTGCTAATTCCACGTTCTTCACCTGGCCCCTTTAATTTTCTTTGGACCAGTAATGACTACACATTGCATGCTCAGTACCAGTATAGAAATGATCATCGCCCTTTAACAATTCATGGACTGGCCACAACTCCACATGGTAGCTTCCCTAGACAGGCATTTCTGTCTGCTAATGCTAATAATAGGCGCAGTGGCGAAGGGTCATCTCTGCAATATGATAATCAAGGCGGCCCGAGCTGGCAACGTCCGAGAACAAGGATCAGGCCAAACCATCAGCAGCGAAGCCCATATAATAAGACAGCAGGCAAGTTGCAGGACCAATCAAGCATGCAACCACCTCGAGATCCGGGACCTTAAGGCTGATCACCGCTGATTATTCTGCATTTACTAGGAGGGCCTTTTGCCTAGAATCTGATGTAGGAGCATTAGGGCGTGGCATTTTCATCGGGAAGACATGTTAGGTTCTTGCTTACCCATTTTTACGCACTTCACTGCCTCCTTTGATTGGAAAGAATGTATAGGTTCTTGCTTGTCCATTTGTACATACTCTTCAGTTTTTCGGAGCCAGAATCCAACTGTGCATATACTTCACTGGTTCAATATTGCCTTTTGTTTCTTAATTGGTGTTACGACAGATTTTTCACTCACGGATTTTATTCTGCAAGTAGGGGGGGTTTTGATTACGCATATGATGACAATTCTAGATGCAGGATGTTAGTTCGACTGTATATAATTTCCTAGGCTCTAGATCTTTTCCGACACCTATTCTGCATTAAATGAAGTTCAAAATGTTGCAGTGGGTTACTGAGAGCTTAATTTATAGCTTCATAGAATGTGCTTGTCACTCTACGAAGGAGGGCAATTGACGAGAAGTTAGATTCAATTCGGAGTGGAAGGGCTACAAGTACATTTCGAAATTCAGAATTCGCCTCACTTAAGAGTTTGGTCCCGATGATATACCTTGCCAAGGTCTGCACGGGGGGCAGATGATTGGAGGAGGCGTGGTCAGGCGCTGATCACCTCAGGCAGTGTCCTGATCGCGGTAATCTCGACATTCGACTGCCAACCATTGGATGAGGACAAGGACGACGTTGAAGAAGTTTCCGTGGCAGCTCAAAGATCAGCATCACCAGAACTTGCTTAACAGAACAACTCTAGGAATTCATAAGACAGACCGCTAGTAAATGAGAAACAACAAAAGCTATCCTGGAAAAGTAATAAACTTCAGGAGTTGGTGTTGTTTTGAATTCTACAATAAGGCCCAAAAAGACAGGCCCCTCTATGAATTAGGCAAATGCCTCTCGCTGCACAGAAAAAATACCCCTCCAGGTGTACCATTCACCACAACCATGGACACCCTTTGATTTGCCAAATGATGCTCAAATCCTCAAGATTTGGCTTTTCGATATCAAATCAGAACACCCCTGCTAGACCCGACGGGCAATCGGGCGGGCCTCAACAAGCTATTTTCGCATTAGGCTGATCGTCCGATCATTTCGACGGAAGAGCAAGGAGGTCTAGACCTGATACACACGCTAGGTGGTGCCCATTTGACCAGGTATACACACATTCACTTCAAAGAAAGGCCATGAAGAGCAAGTCCTTTTCGGAACCAGTGGTCCTATGAAAGCTCACCATCCTTTATTGTCACGAATTGTGTTGGGCCCTGATTACTTGAGGAGGGAATCAATTCCCTTTCATTTACCCCAAAATACGAGAGGAAGCAACAGGTACAAACCCATATATGGAGTATGATGGTCTTTTCTTACGGGGTTAATATCACAAAAAAATTCAAACCGGTACATCTGTAATAAATTTACCATAAAGTAATTTTTTGACCACCAAAAATCCCAAACTGGTACACCTATGATAAATTTACTCTCCATTAGTTTCTGCTCAATTTTACTGTCAAATTGCTGAGTTGGATGACACATGACAGTTGACGGGTGTACCAATTAGGGGTTTTACCCCCTCCGTTTGTCACAGATTTACCAATTTATGATTTTTTGTGGTATTAATCCTATTTAATGGATGGTAAATTTGTCGAAAATGTATTGGTTTGAGATTTTTGGTGGTCAAAAAATTAGTTCGGAGTAAATTTGTCACGAAGGTACCAGTTTGGGGTTTTTCGTGATATAAACCATTTCTTAAAACATCATCCTACGTAGATAAAACCTGAAATAATACGCAAATTATCCTAATAAGAAGACTAGTTAATAACTAAATCGAGAAAAATTCATAGAGGATGAAAATATTAGCAAAATGGTAAAAATACATTACAGCAAAATGGAGTGTGCTTTGTTTAGCGTTTCAAATTATTTTCGTAGAATAAAAATGTTTAGGTTGCAATATGGACATAACCACAAAAGAAATATAAGTGAGTAATTGTCGCCTTTATAAGACAAATCTACAAACTCGTTTTAGTAACAATCCTAGAACATGATATATTAAGATAGCAGAAATATGGCCCGATGTTTATTATTATAGATCATCGAGGAAGGGAACAAAATCTCTAAATATAGCATACATATGAAATCATAAATCGATAATATATAGTGAACAAAACCTCAAAATTTAAGGCCGTTTGTGTGTTCAAGTTCGACTACGATTTCGATTCGATGTGACCTTTGACATGTGTACGCAATTAGTAGCTAAAGACTAAGTGTAAACCTTAGGCCATTCGTTCTAGTTAGAGTAACTTTATTTTTCATTATATGTATGCATCAAAATACTGGATGCACCATCTAAATTATGAATGAAAAAAGAGATAAGGATTAATATAAGATTAACCGATTATGATGTCATATGCTTTTACATCCAATGGTCTGGTCCAAGATAATCTCACCATACATACATATATACATACATACATATATATATAAATATATATAGTCTTATTTATTTCACACCCACCGTTGAGGAAGTTAAAAGACAGTTGGTGAAGTGAGTTTGAAGCACCTCATGCCTTCATGCGAAAACAGAGTCCATTCTTTCAGCGAAGGGTGCAAATCACTCGCCTCTGAACCATCCCATTTCTTCTTTCTCATACTTTGAATCCGTAGAACGAGAGAGAGAGAGAGAGAGAGAGAGTAGTCTCTGGGTCTTCTTGATGGACTCTTGCGAGCAGATATAGAAAAGGCAATGGGGAAGAAGAGAGAGGCCAGGAAGAAGTTTGAGGTGCCACGGGAGGCAAAAGAGAAAGCGGAGTGTCTAATGGCGATGCAGATGTTCCGCCATTGCTCCGAGCTAGAGATTTACCAAGCACTCGTGGAATGCGAGATGGACTTCGACGGCGCCATGCGGAGACTCTCTAATCAAGGTTCTTTTACGCACTTCCGACATTCTCTGTTTCTGTTGCTGGAGACTAGTCTCTGGGTCTTCTTGATCGACTCTTATGAACAGAGAGAAAGAGATATGGGGAAGAGGAAGAAAAAGAAGAGAGAGATGGCAGAGGTACTAATGGAGCCAATGGAGAAAGTCGAGCAATTCCTGATTGCCCCAAGCAATTAGCGAAGCACTCAAGGAATGTGAAATGGATTCCCTCAACGTCATTCATTAACCTCCTCGAGAAAGGTTTTCGCGTGCTTCCGTTGCTCTCTGTTTTTGTTGCTGGTTTACTCTTGATCAGAGCACTTGCTATCAAGCAAGAAACACCCATCATTTCGTTTTTGATTCGGTGTGACGTGAACCCTTCGAATCAGTGAAGTTGATGTAGTTTCTCTTTTTTCTTTCCATTTATTTTCCATTTAGATGAAATGATCAAATTCAGGTGTTCTTGCTCGCTTGAACAGAGAAAGAGAAAACCAGAGCAGGGGTACCGGCAGAGTGGAAGGAGCAAGTCGAGCGTATAAAGGAGATTGTGAAGGAGATGGAGCCCAAATTCACCGAAGAAGAGATCTACGAAACGCTCAAGCGATGCAACATGGACCCCGACCTTGCCACTCAGAGACTCGCAAACTTTCTAGGTTTTACACACTTGCACTTCACCTACCCCATATTCTTGTTTTTTGATTAATCTTGAGAGGCATTGCCATCCTTTGAACCGGTGAAGTTTCTTAAGCGTCTCCCTTTTTATGCTAGCGTCATTTTGAATGAAATTAACAAATAAGCTGAACTCATCCCATGCATTATCAGGGATGTTCTTGTCAAGGTGCCATGCAACAGAAGTATAATTAAAGTCATAAAAATTTGGCGGGTTAGATCGTGTTCTTGAAGCCATATAAATGGCAGATATATGCATGTTCTGCTTTCAATTACAATGCTAGCCAATATAATAATAGTTAACCATGCCATGAATGTCCTTTTGCAGAATTAGATGGGCAGTGTTAGCTTTTGAAGATCATTCTATCTGTTTCTTTTATGAGCTAATATACCAGATGATGGCATGTCGCTAGGTTACGAATGTCCCAGCATCCACGCTTATGCCCTGAGTCACCTGTGCCCTTTTCTTCTGGGAACTGATAATTTTCTTTGATTTGATTCTTTGTAGAAGAATTTGAAGAAGTGAAGAGCAAACGCAAATATAAAAAAGCGGTAATGTTTGCAAAGCATGCGCAGGATATTTACTTATGCTTATCTGTAATGCTTATGCCTTCATACTTACTGAATTCTATGGCAAAAACAATTTCTGCATATAAGTTGACAGACTAATGCAGATAAATTCGAACAAGAGGTCATTCTCGGATTTATTCCTAGGTTTGTAGAAGTTGCAAGAAGTATTTAGAAATAGTTTGCCTTGAAACTACATATTGATGTCATACTGGACATGGCACGGATTGGAAAAAAGAGCAGTTCTACCTCCACACGGCTGTTTATGTCTTATGAGAATCCATTCTCTGCTCTTTGCCTTCTCTTCACCATCTGAATCATTGAATTCTTCAGAGGGTCGATGCGCAAGAATCTAAGTCACAACACGGAGTTAGCAGCAGCAGCAGCAGCAGTGTTGTAAAACAAGGGGGAAGTCGTGATGATGATGTTGGAAGAACAGATACAACTCATGATGATACAGTCCAGGGTATTCAGGGTGAGCATAGAGCATTTCATTGATATGGAAGGCTAAAACAGTTTTCTGTTGCTCAAACTTTTCGAATCTGACGTGTCCTATAGTATACTAACCGATCCTTTTGGCCGGAGTTTCTGGCATCTTAATGAGAAATCAACTACTTGTGGCAGATTTCATCTCGTGCATCTTCGGTGTCTGCTATCTGAACGAAATGCTAATTGAGTTTAAATTGCTTTTTGGGGATTATCGCTTGGAATGGTGTCCTATAGTATAAACGAGGCATGCTGATATCGGATATCATCTTTTTTGTTCTTAGTGAGTCCTTTAAGGAGTTCTCGTTGTCTAGACAGGCACGAATTTGGGACAGATGGAAGCAAAAAATCCATACTTTAGCATGCTGGCTCAGGGTTGTAATCAGGATTTCTAGGTTCTCTTTATTATTGTCATTAAACTATGCGCAGTCTGCTTGTCAAGCATTTGTGGTGACTTCAAATAAATAAATTGCATGATTTTATGTGACTATCAGGGAATTCACCAAGATTTTCCATTCAATCTATCGGAAATGATTCACCTGACCTTCCCTTCTCAGCATTCGATCACATGACATACGGTTCAATGGAGCATCCAGCAATGATGTCAATGGTATGCATTCTTTTAGCCCAGCCGATTTCTCCATATGGATTACATAAATTTTGATACTTTTTCCTTCAGATTGAGACTGACATCCTAGGGGAACTGACTATATTGTTTCTCTGTCAAGTTGAATTATTAGTTATCGATTAGGAAAGTGCTTGATGGCCAGAAGTCTTGGGGTGATGTGTTTTAAGAAAGGTTAAGGTGGCGTGCTGCAATTTTTTTTTTATTGAAACCAGAAAAAGCAGATTTGTAGATGTCCAGAACTTCGGTTACTAAATGCTGCAAAGCTTTTAAAAGAAGTGCTTTCTTTGATCAGAATGCACCACCTCTTACACCAAGTGCTTCCATCCATCAATCACCACAGACCCTGCTTCAAGACACTAATTTGTCCGCTGGCCATGGATTTACACATCCCTACATAGAACCAAGCTACTATCAGCCTCAGCTGCCCCTGCAACATGGTTACATGAATGGTGATGGGCATGTGCATCAGAACTTCGGATATGATTTGACATCTCCTCAACAAGAGGTATACCAAGGTGGCAGCTCGTCTTGGGCCAATGCCGATCCTTCTAGTTGGGGAAGCTTTCTGGACAGAGGAAGTATCCCTCACCAATTTCTGCCTAATTCACCTGCCCCCTCTGATAGTTCCGGAACCCAGCTCAACTCTACATTGCATGTTCAGGCTCAGCACCAGCATAGAAATGATTATTGGCCTGACGGAACGGTAAAAAATGATTTGGCACCTGCTTGATAGCTTTTCTATTGTCTACTTCCGATCTCACATACAGTCTTGCAATGCAATGATGCTAGCTAATCAGTTCTCTCAATTATGTCGCCGTTTTCCAGAAGTATAACTTCGCTGTGCTGAAAAATCAGCTTAATCCAGGAGCAATGTCTGCACACCCCGAACAACAACAGAGTGGTTTCCCCGAACAGGTGCCTCTACCTTCTGATGGTAATAACCAGCACCATGATATGCCATCGGCTCAACAAGAAATGCATCAAGGTGGCTGCTCATCTTGGGCCAATGGCAATGCTTCTGGCTGGGGAAGCATTCAGGGCACAGGAAATACATCTTATCAATCTCCGCCAATTCCACCTTATTCACCTTCTCCTTTTAATATTTCCCGGACCAGCAATGACCCCACATTGCAAGCTCAAGACCAGTATAGAAATGATCATCACTTCTTAAAATTTCCTGGACTGGCTTCGACTCCAGGTGGTAGCTTCCCGGGTGGGGTGCCTCTGCCTGCTAATGCTAGGAATCAGCACGCTGGTGAAGGGTCATCCCCGCAATATGATCATCAAGGCTACCCGAGCTGGCACCATCCTGGAACGAGGGTCAGCCCAAACCATTTGCAGCAAAGCCCATATAATACAGGCACAGGCGATTCGCAGGACTTATCAACCATGCAACCACCTTGAGATCCGGGACCTTAACGCTGATCACCGGTTGTTATTCTGCATCTATTGGGAGGGCTTTTTGCGTATAATTTGATATAGGATCATTAGGGCGTGGCAGTAACAATTGGGATGACATGTTAGCGCTTGCTTACTCATTTTTACGCACTTCAATACCTCCTTTGATTGGAAAGAATGTACAGGTTCTTGCTTGTCCATTTGTACATACTCTAGTTTTTTTGGAGCTAGAATCCAACTGTGCATGTACTTCAATGGCTCAATATTACCTTTTGTTTCTTAATTGGAGTTAGGACAGATTCCACGCAAAGATTTTCTTTTGCAGGTAGGGGGTTTTGATAACGTGTAATGATGATAATTCTAGTTGCAGGATGTTAGTTATACTCTATATTTTCCCAGGCTCTAGAGACCTATTCCAATGCTTCGAGTGATAATTGCCACAGCTGCACCGCCCTATTCTGCATTGGATGAACTTCAAAATGTTTCGGTATGTCTCTAAGAGCTTCCGTAATAGCTTCCTAGAATGTGCTTGTCGCTCTAGGAAGGAAGGCATTAGACGTGAAGTTAAAGTCAATTGGGAGTGGAAGTGAAAGGAGTACATGTTGAAAATCAGAATTCGCCTAACTAGACAATTTGGTTCCGACGATATAAACTTGTCAGGGTCTGCAAGGGGGCAGTGATCAGAGGAGGCGTGTCGGTACTATGATCGCCTCAGGCACTGATACTGATCACGGCGGTATCATTCATAAACCTGAGTATCGATAACCTACCACTGGATGACGACAAGACGATGATGAAGAAGTTTCCGTGGCAACTCAAGGAATCAGCATTAACATAACTTGCTCAACAAAACAATGTTAGGAATTCATCAGATGGACCTCCAGTAAAAGAGAAACAAGAAACGCTATCCTGGAATAGTATAAAAAAATTCAGGAGTTGGTTGTTTTGGATTATACAGTAATGTCCAAAAAGCAGGCCCCTCACGAATTAGGCAAAAGCCTCCCCGGGGCCACCAGAAAATTACCCCTCCAAGTGCACCACCATTCACCGCAACCAGAGAGAACTCTGGTCTAGCAATGTTTAGCATGCAAGTGATCCTTTGATTTGCCAAATGATGCTCAAAAAGTTTCAAGATTGGTCTTTCAAAATCAAATCAAAACGTCCGCCGGACCCGAAGCGCAATCAGCCGGGCCTGAACGAGCAATTTTCTCGTTAGGCCAACCGACTGACCGATCATTTTTACGAAAGAGCAAGGTGTTTTAGACCCAATGCCCGCTAAGGAGTGCTCATTTGTCTAGGTATACACATTCACTCCATAGAAAGGTCAACATACACTAAACGTCGGGGTTGTAAATAAATATGGGCCATGAAAAGCAAGTCCTTTTCGGCACTAGTGGTCCTATGAAGGCTGCACGATCCTACAACTATACTATCTTGCGATTCCACACATCTACTCGCACTATTCTATTTATGATCTCATTTCGTGATTTAATTGGTCCACTGATCCATCATTCTCTATATAAGGGTCAGGTTTCCGTTTAGACATTATTATTCCGCCCTCAAGACGTGGCTTGACTGATTAATTGAGGGAATCAATTCTCTTTAATTTATCCCAAAAGTTTGAGAGAAAGCAATAAGTAATTATCCTCCCCTTCAAACCCATATCTTGAGTATGATGGCCTTTTCTTACAACATCATCCTCCATAGATAAAACCTCAAATAATACACAAACTATGCTATATACAGTAACCAATCTTAAAATAAGAGGAATCTGTTTGGCCGTGCATTCTTAGGACCCCATTTTTCTTTGGCCAATAATAAACAAAGAAATAAATAGACAAACATAGGTTGTGATATCTCATCTACTTATGAAATAGACGTGAGAAAATTTACACTTGAATGTTGCGAAAACCGTCTACAAAAGCAAATAGTTTGCACCATAACTGCGAATATAGGATAATAAAAAGAAACCCTTCAAAAAATAGGATTGTTGGAGGAGAGGGTCCATAACATATAAGAGCCACACATTACTACTTCATATTGCTTTAACATTTGCTTTCATTTGTTGTCTCCCTCATTCATTTAACAACACACACTTTCATATACCAACACCAAAAACAACATTCATGGATGAACAGTGCATCGTCCAGCCTCTCTTACCGGCAACCGCCGCCGCCGCCGCCTCCTCCATTCCGGCCATCCCTAACTACCCGCCTCTTAACAATGACGAAGACGCCAAAGACACGAGCGCCCCATCACCGGACTCGAGCATCATCTACCGCCTTTCGTCCATCTTCTTTATCGGGCTCCTCTCTGTGTGGGCGAACCTCAAAGCATCAAAAGGTTTCAAGCTAACTGTTGCGAACGATGCCACGCGCTCTCTGGCTGGCAAGCGCTTCACTCGAATATACATCTCCGACGACAAAGCCACGCGTGAAGTCCTCCATGCGAGCAACTTCGTCGAAACCTTCTCTACAACTACATCAGAAGCGACCAAACAACCATAAAGAAAAAGCCTATAAAGCACGTCATTATCCGGCTAGCTCGATGGAACCTCACAAGGACGGTAACTGTCAAAGCCACAGGAGATCACAAGTTTGTCATGAATCTGAGCCCTTCTCTAATGGAGGCCAAAGATGTGAAGTACGAAGTGGCCTTGGCAATCCACCGTGGCATGGCGCAGATATGGCTATATGATGGCAGCTCTAAGGTTCCGCTGGCGCTTCTCAACGGCATGGTAGAGTATATAAGCATTTTAACAGGATTTGGAGAAAAAGATTACAATGGAAGTGTTCAGGGATTTCAAGAATCTGTTCCAAATTGCTAGGAAGACAAAAACCCAATGGTTGTGGCACATTTCTTGAACTACTGTGAGAGGGAGAGTGGAGGGTTCATCGGACGGTGGAACGAAGCCCTGTAAGACGAGTGGCGTGATTGGACGGTGGATGAGGCTCTTGGGATGCCAGCTCAGCGTCTGTGCAATTCCTTCAAGAGAGGTCAAACAGCAGTTTAAAGTTTTACCCAATTAATACAATTTCCATAGCCGGTCTTCATGACATGGAAAATTCGGCGAATTAGGGTGCGAATGGTAACCATTCTGCTCCAGAAATCAAATTCTTGCCAGAAATTGATTTCTGGAATTCTTGCCAGAAATTGATTTCTGGAGGAGAAATCTGTTTGGTAAAACATGACTAATTCTGCTCCAGAAATTGATTTCTGGAGCAGAAATCTGTTTTGATTTGTTGATTTTTTTTTCACCTAAAAAAAATTAAATTTTACTCAAAGTGGGTGGCCACATGTATTATAAGCCATTCTGTAAAGTTTTGAAATTTTTGATTTTTTTAAATTTCAATTAAAGTGGGTGGCCACAGGTATTCTAAGCCATTTTGTGAAGTTTTGAATTTTTTTATTTTTTTATTTTTTTGGGCACCTCAAAAAATTTAAATTGTACTCAAAGTGGGTGCCTACAGATATTCTAAGCCATTCTGTGAAGTTTTGAAATTTTTTATTTTTTATTTATTTTTTTGGGCACCTTAAAAAATTTAAATTTCACTCAAAGTGGGTGGTCACAGGTATTTTAAGCCATTTTGTGAAGTTTTGAAAAATTTTATTTTTTTATTATTTTTCTTTTTTTTGGGCACCTCAAAAAATTTAAATTTCACTCAAAGTATGTGGCCACAGGTATTTTAAGCCATTTTGTGAAGTTTTGAAATTTTTAATTTTTTTTGGGCACCTCAAAAAATTTAAATTACACTCAAAGTGGGTGGCCACATGCGTTTTAAGCTATTCTGTGAAGTTTTGAAATTTTTGATTTTTTTTTCATTTTTAAAAAAAAAATTCACCAAATTTCATATTTTCCCGAAATCTGACTTTTTTTTTATTTTCTGGAAATTTTTATGAATTTTTCTAGAATTTTTCAATTTTTATGCATTTTCTGAAAAAAAAAATTGTGAGAAAATAGGGAGAATGCATTCCGGAATCAAGAAGCTACAAAAAGTAGCTTCTCTTTTTCTTGCCAAAAACTCATTCCGGAATCAAAAATGCATTCTGGAATCAAGAATGCATTCTGAAATCAAGTATTTTTAACAAACACATTTTTATTCCAGAATGCAAAAATCGCTCCAGAATGCATTTCGAAATTTTTTTAACAAACGCCATTCTGTTCCGGAATGCATTCCAGAACAGAATTTTTATTCCGGAATGCATTCCATACGCACCCTTATTGTTCTATGATTCTTTGCATGTGCCGGGTGATGTTCCATGTTCGGACGAGACAACGACGTTAATCATGTGGGGCTCATTCTTGCACGTGCATTACTCTGGATGACTATGCAGATAAGGGTTGGGACTTCCGGTGACCAATAAAACAGCAATTGATATTTTCCAATTTCAGGGACCTTCATCATTAAGCAATCATCACATCACTTAGATACATTCAATTCGTTCACAAACTTCTCAGTTCTTTTTCAGTTAGCCACTACAACCTACCAGAGCTTTCACCAATTGCTAGCCATTGAACAACCCAACCCACGAATACAAGCTGCCAGAAGATGCAGATCGCTAAATGCATGACAGCTAATGTGGATGTGGCCAGCCACTCAGGATCAAGAACCATAATAGAGAAGACCAACTCTGACTCCTCAATCTTATCAGTTTCTTATAAACCTTTTTGTTTGCTCCGTGCATGTCATCAAGCTCCTATTTACTTCAGTTCCATTTTTTAACTTTATTTGGAATGCCATGCTCTGCACTTATGAAGGAAACCCAATTGATTTTTTACTTCAATTGAGACCAATCCAACCAAACCACAGCACCAAAACACCCGAGGAAATCTTGAAAGTCCACATAACTTTGTGGAGTTGACAAATAATAGGAACGTCTGTACAAGATTAAATATACATGGATTAACAATGTACCAGACAATTTTTGCCAAGCAGGCTCTGTTTCTCTCCTCTGTACATATTCAGAAACAGTCCCAAACCCTTGACCAGTTGAACCCTCATTACATGCCTCCTTTACAAACATTTAACAACATTTTCAAATGAACCTGAAAGATCCCTGCATGAAATCGAACCAAAAAAGCACACAAGGAACAAATGACATAAACCCTCTTACGCAAATAGGTAAAAGCACTGCACATGGCTGCAGAGAGACTTCGACAATCCAGCAATATGCTTAACCTTATTGTGCACTCACAGGTTAATTGACATTTACATCGCTGTACTTATGAACAAAATGCTCTCCGCAAGCTCTTCATCTACAATTCCTTAGCCTTATGGAGCATCCGTCGACAAAAAAGTGGACACTCCCCACCGTAACTTGAGATCATAGATTATATATCCATCCCTTGGTTTCTCCTCTGACTATGTACACTTCTTACCTACGCAAACAGTTAGACTGTGAGCCGTCATCATGGAAGACTGACAGTAATATACACCATGCGGAGCTAAGTTAGTACTTCTCAATCAAGATCTGCCTTCGGACTGTCCAACGAATCCCCTAAGTAAGACCCATCGGCTTGACGAATACAAATGTTCAGGTTGCCCGAAATCAAGTAGTCCTGGAAGATTTACAAAGATTAGGCTGATTCTACGTAAAGTGAGAGATGATCCACACAGTAAATATTTCCTGTCTGATTGTTCTATATTAATGGATAATGCAGAACGATTGGATGTTAGGCACAATAGAATGTCATCTATATCATCAAAGTAGTTACTCCCATTACATGAATCAAATTTCCAATCATCTTCAATCATTTTGGAACCTTTTAAAGCAAAGGAGAAGACACAGGAAGCTCAAGTATCGGAACAGGGAAGCCAAGTCAGTGAGTAATGTCTAGTGTTACCTTATCGCCAGTATCCTGGCCCTCAGAATGGAAAACTATTGGGCGGCACCGTTTATCTTCATTCATCAAGCTTGAATTCTGGAAATGTGTCACAAGTGCAGCTTTACCCTGGATCCTTGCATACGCCAGTGAAGCAACCTTTTCACTATTAAACTTCTCCCACTTCTTCCCGTTAAATGTCTGCACACAGTTCAAAGATGTAGACTTTCTAGAAAAACTAAAATTCCCAGTCCCATTACTAATCACACACAATGACAAGTCACATGCCATTCCAACGTACTATATTGGTGATGCAACAAATTACATAATCACCTCACGTAGACAAGAGTCACATCTACATTCACATATTAACATTAAAATTAACGACAAATACAAGGTCAAGTAAAATTTGATCTCTGAGTATTGGAAGGCTGAGAAATGGACAGGAAATCTGACTTACTTTATAGAAAGACACTATATGCGAAGGAGAAACCATATTGATGAAAGCATAGCCCACATTGCATTTGTTCTGCAACAAATTCAGAGGAAGCTTTGATCAATTAAACAACGGCTTGCTAGCAGTGTTCAACAATTTTCCAAGAATCCGAACAATCACGTGTTTTCGAGTGAGCTTCGCCTAATAGACTCCTACTCATTTGGTGCTTGTAATTTAGGCCCAAAAGAATCATGAAGAGTTACCTTAAAATCAATAGGCAAGTAGAGAAAATCGTATGTCCCACTGTGATTTTCATCAATCGCAGCAAGCAGCATCTTCGATGTGTACCTAAATTAAAGGCAAAAGGCAAAGTAACAATAAGTACCAGGCAAGTAATTATATTAGAACATAAACATTCCAAATGAGAATTATACATTAGTCTTACTTGTTGGGGATGTTCTTGATCATTAATGTAGTCCTTGTATCTTCTCCGTTCATAATTTTATCCAAGTCCAGTTGGTACTGCTTCTTATTATCCATCTGATTGACATTTGTCTCGACCCGCCTATTTCGACCATGTTCACCCAACCCATCAATGCCAGTTGCCCCAGGTCCGGAAAATAGACCATTCCCAACAATCATGGGGCCATGCCTAGCCATTGGTAGCATTCTGAAACTCGGGGAACCGTTTTCAGCCATGTCTCCTGGAAAGCCAATGGCAGTCATAGTTGGATGGGTACCCGCATTCATGTAATTAGCTTTGTTATGACTTAAACTCAAGCCCCTCAAAGCGACAGAGTTCATAAGTGATGATTCTGGTGACTCAGGCACATAATTAAAACACCCGTCAAATGGGAGACCAGATGGTGCAGATCCAACATGATGAGGCTGATTTGAAGGAAGAAAAGAGGTATGGCGACTGGCGTAAGGAAAACCCTGCCCCCTTCCTTGACCGCTGGATGAAAGTGCATGTCCTGTAGATGAACTTGGCCATGCAGAGGAATGGGAAAGCCCAGAGTACGGAGTAGAACTTCCCCAGAGAAACTGAGGACCGGATAACGTCGTAACGCCAGAAGAATTTGTTGATTCTCCTATGACACGGCCAGGACTTGGCCTAACACCGTGCTCAGGAAAAGATTGAGAACTCTGGTACGCTGCAACTTGTGATGACCCTGTCTTGTTAAAGATCGGACCAACATAGTTAATTCTTCCTTGGTCCTTTCCTATAGGCGCCATCTTTGGAGAACTAGACAAATGAGTAGGAAGAATTGATGCTAACCCCGGCAAATGATTACTGCTAATAGGGCTAGGTCCCAGACCAGGAGATTTGCTAAAAGCATGCAGAGGGTTCTGCTCAACAGGGCTGCCATATTGGGCCCAGCTACCTACCAAAAAATTAACATATTATAATTAAAAGAAGATAATAACAAGGGGCTGTTGAAGATCGCTGAATGCAAGATCACTTTTAAAGCTACCAAGATCACTTTTAAAGCTACCAACCTGGTGGAGAGTTGGTAAGTGGAGAACCCACTTGGTGCCTGAAAGTCCGAGATTCATCCTGTTCCAGCTCTTGATTTAGTTGCTGCATCAAGCTAAGAACAAAAAGTACAAACAAATTCAATTTAGTCCACCACATGAACCAAAAAGTAACTAGGACATTCTGAAAGATTCTCCAGAGTGCACGGTAAGAAAGGAAAAGACTATGAAACCGAGTTTTGACCGAGTATCTCATATGCTTAATAACACGGAGCAAATTATGCAGCAAGTCCTAACTCTAAGGGCTCATATAAAATTGAAAAATAAGTGATGAA